CATTCTATCCGATGTAGTTGAGGGATGTTCGAGCGGTGGGCAAGAAGTTTTTCCATGTTTTATATCCTAAAGAGAAGAAAAGTTTACTAAAAGAATGTGAGTCTATGAATGACAGAACTCTGTTAGTAAAAAGGTGACTGATCATTATATAATACGTTTGCATATTTCAGGGGATTTATGGGGACCATTAATATTGTGTACTTTTATGGCAATGTAAGATGTATATTTACATAGATGTCATGGATATATATGAAAATTACATGTTAATTTACAATTGCACTATATTTAGGATATTGCAAGGTTCAACTGACATAGCAGATAGTTCAAATGATGGAGGGCCCGAATTTGCAGAAGTATTTGTTATTGTATGGATTGGATCTATGGTTGTTACATTGAATTCGAAATTGTTGGGTGGAAATATGTAAGTAAACGAACTGTAAATTTTGACTTATTAATTGATTTTAATTATTGAAATGATTGTGAAATTATTATTTAAATGTGAAATTATTATTTAAATGATAACATGATATATTTAAATTTACAGATCTTTCTTCCAAAGCGTTTGTGTCCTAGGATATTGCTTATTACCGACTGCCATTGCTCTAATTTTATGCAGAATCATACTAATAGTGCAGCAAAGCAGTCTTCTATTTACTCTTAGGTTGGTGATCAGCATGATTGGATTTTTGTGGGCAACGTATGGTAAGTATAACACCAATTATATTAAGATTAACTTATATCTTTCCATTATAAATCATTACCAAAAGAATTATTACTTTAAAATTTATTAATATAATATTTCAGCATCGATGGCATTCCTTGGTGACAGTCAGCCCACAGGCAGGAAGGCATTAGCAGTATATCCAATTTTCCTATTTTATTTTGTTATATCATGGCTAGTTATATCCCACACTACATAAAATGCAACATAACAATTAATCTGTTACAAGACTGCGCATTGCTCCGACCTTCTGCGTAAACATCAGGAGATGACGAAAAAGTAATCAGAAGGTGATGCAATGTTTTTCATACATGATATTTTCCAAGTCCTGCATTTGGACATATTCCAATATTGTGCTTTTGTGAATAAAGTATAAAACACAAGTATAGTAGACAAGTATTTATTATTGTCTTACGAGGAGAACAGCAGGTGACAAGGTCAGGGTTTTTGATACACTTTTTACAGGTGTTCTTGAGCGAAAAAAAACGATATGTGTCCGGTCGTTTCAATCATTAGCCTATAGTTTCGAAGAAATCAATTTTTTTTAATAATTATTGTAATAATTTGAAAAACGTATTGTATAAATGAAAATATCAGTATCTTTATAAATTTCATTTTAATTTAATGTTATTAGTTTTAATTACTTTTTGATTGTAATGGAATTTCATGAAATTACATATTAGTATTATAAATAATAATTAAATATTACTCATTTATGGAATATTTATTATTATCATCGTTATCGTCATCGTTGTTGTTATTTACATGAACGCATAAATAAGATTGTAATGAAAACTGTTATAGTTTCTAATTAAATTAGAAATTATGATTAGGAACAAGTAAGTTATATGTTTGCAATCTTTTTTTGGTTAACATTAATCGATTTATTAATAATAATAAAAAACTAAGCGTTTTGACATTATACGGGATGATATAAATCATAAAAACAAGAAAAACATAAATATTGCATTGTGAACATCTTACGAATGAATTTTAGAATAAATTTCATTTTAGAATGAAAAATTTGGTATTCATCAAAATTGATTCCTGAAAGAAGTTACTTCCATAATGTCAAATCTGCTTTCCGTCAGATATTAAAAAAAGTTATTTATTGTGTCTACAACAAAAATTCGTAGATGTTCACAATGCAATAAATATTTATGTTTTTTTCGTTTTTATGATTTATATCAACCCGTACGTCTACAAAACATAATTAGTTTTCTATTGTTATTAATAAATCGATTAATGTTAATTAAAAGAAGATTATAATCATATGACTTGTTCTTAATCATAATTTCTAATTTCTAATTTCATCAGAAACAGTTTTCATTAGCATTTTATTTATGCGAATAACAACAATGACGATAACGATAATAATAAATATTTCATAAATGTGTGTTTAATTATTTATAATAATAATATGCAATTTCATGAAATTTTGTTACAATTAAAAAGTAATTAAAAACTTAATAACATTGAAAATGAAATTTATAAAGATACTGATATTTTCATTTGTATAGTATATTTTTCAAATTATTATAATAATTATTATAATAATTATTATAATAATTATTTAAAAAATCGATTTCTTCGAAACTATGGGCTAATGGCTGAAATGACTGGACACATATCGGTTTTTTTCGTTCAAGAGTAACCTGTATAAAGCGCATCAAAATTCCTGATCCTGTCACCTGGTGTTCTCCTTAGTCATTCAATATGTCAATTATGACTATATTAATACTTTTAATTATATTTAAATCTCACTAAATGCAATTCAGATAAATTTAATGTCAATATTAAAATAGATTCTTTCTCCATGAATGGAAAATTTGTCAGATTAGTATATTTGTACAAACTTGGTAAGAAAAAAAAACATTATAATATGAGCAATACTTAACGTTAATTTAAATGTTACATCTGGATATCTTAAACTTCCATAAATTTTTTAACTATTTATTTTTTTTTACTAAATTCCGATTTTAATTGTAACATTAAATTTAGAAGGTGCAGAAATATTCGAAGTAGATTTATATCTTTTGTATATTATGTACATAAATTATGTTTAAATCATATGTTACAATAAAATAATACAATATAGAATATAAGGAACTTTCATTGTTTATTTCATATATGTGAAAAGTATCTTTGCAACTTTCGTAAAAGTATCTTACTGTCGTAATGTATAGAATAAGCACTCAACGATTTTTGTACTGCGATATAACTCGTCTGTAAGTCTCCAACCTGTATGTGTATCGAACAAATATGTAGTATATGTTTGGTATATGTCAAAGTACATTGGAAACAATTACCTCATAAGCTAAGTGCGCGCTATTGAAGTGCGCTTCATACACATAATTAGCGATGTTAGCTGCTGCATGAAAATATGTTCTCGCCGCAGTAACGTTTCCGTTGCGCATCTCTATCACACCGAGATTGTTGTAAGCCAGAGCATGTCTATTATCGCTTGCGATAGCTAGTTTCAAACACTCCTCAGCCATTATCAGATCACCCAGCGTCTGAAATGGCATCCATCCTTTATGATTTATGTTTTAAAAGATAATGATAAGTTATACATACAATAGCAATATGAGAGATGTTGTACCACACATCAGCCACATTCTCGTCAGTAGCGAGATTTAATGCTCTTTCAAAGCATGATATAGTATGATCGTATTGCTGAGCATAGAAGCAACAAAGTCCGAGATTGTTAAACAACTCGGCGTTATGTACGCCCATTTGCAAAAGGCGCCTGGAACATATATTTATCAAAATTTATTTATCGAAATTTAATTATAAAATATTATTATGTATAGGATTGAGAAACAACGTCGTTATTTGTAACATCGTTGCAATTTTTTTTCAGTAATGAGTAATGATAATATTTCCTTATTTAACAATAATATTAATCATAACTTTATTGTTATTTTGTTATATGGGTAATATGGTTGTTATAATAATAACAAATATAATCGTTACTTTTATCATGTATTTATACACGTACAATACATATATATGAAATCTGCATAAGCGAATTTCAAAAAAAGAAAGTTTGATCAAATGTTGCAATTAATCACAACGCCATTACCACCATCATAATCACTAGATAGATCCCGTATTAAACTGGAAAATTAGTGATTAAAATAATTTTATGACTTCTTATTGATTATGTTCTCACATGTACAGTTAATAAGATTCTTATTATTTAATTTTATGCCATTCTAAAAAAAGAGATCAAAATTTGATGAAAAGATAACAAATTGTAACGATTCATTACTTGTTGAATAACGATAACGAATTACTTTCATAAACTTACTTTTATAACTTTCCCTTATATATAAATAAAGTGTTGAAGATGAAATGGATGTAATTATTTAGATCCGATTACACCATGTTATTTTGATTTTAAACGAGGCTTAAACCCTGTCTATCTGTGTCTTTTTTTCAGCTTTAAAAACGAGTCAGATAGAGTTTTAAGTCTCGCTTAAAGTCAAAGTAACTTTGGTGCAACCGGACCTTAGTGAATTTAAAAATATAAATCATTGCAAAATAAAAAGAATGCATACGCTCTACTTATATCTCTTCAATGTTTAACTTTATATATATATATTACGTTTAATATATATGTATACCTATAATAACGCAAAGCTAGCTCCGGTTGATCATTGTAAAAATGATGCATGCCTATACTGGCAATTGCCTCGGTATGAGAAGCATCCTCTTGCGCGATTACCTTGTAATATTTCATGGACATCGTCGCGTTATTCAGGCCCTCGAATATGCGGCCCATCTCCGTGAGGATCGTAACATCGTTCGTGAAATGTTCAAGGCCTCTCTTACATGTATCCAGAGCAGCCACTGGCTGATCGAGCCGGATATAGACTCTGATCAGCCGCAAGACCGTTTCGATGTTTTTATGATCCTTCAATGCCGACTTGAATTGTTGCTCTGCATCTCTCACCAATCCTAAAGTATAATAACACTTTCCCAGTTGAACTTTCCACCACCAATCTTTATATTGACAGACCTGCGTTGCCTGAACAGCCAAGTCCAGTGCCTGATATATTCAATGAATATATTTTAATATTTAATTTAAAATACAATATATTATAATACTTCAGTAATAATCTATCAATATAATGTTTATACTCACGTATCTTGCTTCATGCTCGTGATAATATATATATTCGAACAATGGTTTTGCTATGCTTTGCTGATTAGCATATTTAGTTATGTTCAATCGCGATAATTGGATAAATGGTCCACCAGGTTCTGTCAACATTGATGCTGTGCCAAGCCTTGGAGGAAGATCTCGTTTAATTTTTTTTTGATATTACAATTAAGATTACATGCATACAAATCACATTTTATAATATACCTAACACTGCGCCCTGAACTTGCTGTAATTGGCCTAGCAGTCATTGCTGTTCTCGGTGTTCTCAATGCCTGCTCAATCGATTGAGACATTGCTGCTTGAGTGGCAGGCCGTATTACTCCAGTAACAGGTCTGCCTTTAAGATATCAATATAGGATTTCATTTTAAAATGCACGAATAAAAATAAAAAAAAAAATTGAAATTTTCTCAGATGAACTCTAACAAACCGGATTGTGATTTAGGCCGTACTCCTTGACCAGTGTAACTGGTGCCAGGATTTCTCAACGAAGTACCTGGCCTGGGCATTGTCGATATCGCATAATTATCTAATAAAGTCTCGGCGATTCCCTCTTCCTCGCTTTCAATATCGTCCACGTAAACTTGCAGCGTTAAAGCACGCATTTTCAGGATCCATACAGCCTAATAACGAAATCATATGTCACGACTGATTCGTGAACAATTATTATTTTATGCATAAGAAATAAAGAAAAATATACCTGATCCAGCGGATTTTTTCTCAACAAATCCGTGCATATTGCAGCGCACGCCTTGTACTTTTGTCGACTGAATAAGCTCAAAGCGGTAAATAATTCCATGTTCAACAAAGCCTGAATTTCCTCGGAATGGAATATGTATCAGTTTCGTAGCATTGATCCGCTTATTATAGAGTACTATACTATACTTTGAGCAATCACTTTCCTTATACCTGTCGTACAAACACAAATGAAATTATTGATTATTTCAAGTTATTTCTTTACTTTATAGGTGAGTGGTTTACCCCCATTTTCAGTTCACTAACCAACCAACCAACGTTCCAGTGACTAGAAATGACTTAAATTCAATTCCTCATATTCTGCAAAAAACATCTATGTACACTTTATTTTTTTACGTAGTCATTGAATAGTTAATAATAATTATTTATTAAAAAATTTAAGTTTTGAATGAAAATTCCGAAAAAATTCTATAAGCTTAATTGGATTAAAATGAACATTTTTTTGTCTCTTAGATTTTTTTAATAAAATTAATAGTTTTTGAGATAAAAAAGTCCTTGAGTTCAATATTGAAAAATGATTATTTTTATGAATTTTTTTCTCACAAACTAATCTTCTAATGAGTATGAATGAAAAACGAAAATATTCGACCTTTCTTAAATTTCTTAAAATGTAACGAAAATTTTATTTTATTTTACTCTATAACATTATTAAAACAGTGAAAACTTTATTATCATAATGAGACTAAAGGCACATTTGCGCCTTGATGAAAATGAGAAGTTTCATAAATTTATTATTATTTAACATTTACATAAGCGTTTGCAGGAATTCGTTGAGAATTCAGAAATGGTCAATAGAGTATTCGTAAAGCGAAAATTATAACGCTGCAACATTTGGAAGGCATTTCTCTGACGAAAATAAGAAGTTTCATGAGCGTTTAGTTCAAGTGTTAAGTTTGCTAAATTCAGACATTTTATCAAAAAAAAAGGTACAAAATTTTTCTAAATCTCATCGTATCAATCTGCACTTTTTATCCTATTCGATGTGATTTTTTAAATGCGAGAAATTAAATTTCACTGTGTCTCTCTAGTGATGTTATGCACTGCTTGAAAATTAGATATGTAGAAGAATGTTTGTTAAATGGAGAAAAAACGCTTGTGTTATGGAGTTGAAGAAAATATTTTTTGGGCGTCTTTAAGCTGTTTGTGTAAACGCCTTACAAAACGTTTACTAAAATTCAATAATTCGCCACATTGAAACAGCGTTTGTTGAACGGAAGAAAAATAAAATTAATTGTCTCATTGAGAAAAGCGTTTGATAAATATTTGAAAAGTCTGACAGTGAATTCTTTGCACGAAGATGATTAGCGTTGATTTGAAAAGCGTTACTTTAGTATTATTACAGAACTTTCATGAAACGATATATACTGTATTATAAGCGTTCTGAAAGTGTTTCAAACTTAATGGTGTTCTAAGCGTTTTTATAAAGTTTAGAAACGTATAAACTCTTAAAAAATCGTCATCGAACGATTGTCAACGTTTTATAAAGTTCCTATTTAAGTTCATATTTTTGCCAAGACGATCGATATACTTTCCTGGAGGAAAGTCTCGAATTGTTCGGCTGCAATATGAAGCGAGTTTTTTAATTCATCGATTGATCAATCGCACTATGCACAAATGTAATTTTGTTCCGTAAAAGTTGCATTTGCGCATAATTGCAATTGATCAATCGATAAATTAAAAAACTCGCCTATGCTCTTGTTTGGCTTAATTTAGATTTGAAATGTTTGGTTTGTAGAACTTCTAATAAGTGCGTAAATAAAGATGATGATAATGATAATAAAGATGATCTCAAGCCTAAAAGTGTAATAAAAATATTAAAAACTCATTATTAATGTTTATATCCCAGAGCAAATATTTCAATGTTCAAACAAGCGCAATTGTGCCAGCCGCAATGCTAGTTCACAATTCAGCGTTGAAACATTGGTATATTCTTTTAGATCATCCAATTAGCATTTTAAATCTCGAAGAATACATCAATAGCAGTGAGCGCTCACTCAACTCTTGAGTTTGCTGAACGCAGTCATAAGGTGCGTCCAGAAGTACAACCGCTCATTCAATATTCTTGTACCTGTTTGGTCTATATTTTTAGATTTAATGGAATATGCCAATCAGATGCAATAGCTCAGTGAGCAGTCGTGCTTCTAGATGTACCCATTTAGAATGAGATCCCACCACGAGTTTATGTCATTCGTGCACCTATCGCGTATGCAGATGAAATATAAAAAAAATCGAAGTTCGTGTTGAGGGCAACACTAAACCGCAAGAATATCTAAAAAAAAAGATCACGGTCAGGAATATCATTAATTATGACGATTTGATTAAAAAATTTTGAAAAAATGACCCATTGCGTATGTTTATAAAAGGGCTACCGTTGGAAAGGCGAGAATCTGTAGATTACGAAAATGATAGGGTGCTACCTTTAAAGTGGTCAACTCTTTGGCAACCAGAATAAAGAGGGGACAAATGAATGAATTTTTGTTTAAATGCATTAAATGCACCCATCGCATAGTTCAATAATTTTTGCACTAAATCGTAGTTTAATGTTTACTTTTTACGACGGAATAGGATTGTCTTTAAAAAACTGGTTCAAAACATCGGAAGCATCCGACTGACGTTTTCGAACGCAGCCAATTGTCTGCATGTTGCTATAATGTCGGTATATTCGAAATCGTTGAAAACAAATTTATGGCAAGTTGCCATAAATTTTAGATTTATTAGCAATTACAGATTTGTGCGATTGTGCTGAGACATGTTTTGCTATCTGAGCAGTTAGAGCATTTCTAAGCGACTTTTTGGAGTAAATTACTTGCCTATTATGACAGCATAATTATAAAATCAATAAACTGTAGCAATAGTAATAATCATGAATATAATAGGAATTAAGATAGTAATCGATGCAATGGTATGATTGGTATTTGTTTCTAATCATGTGAAATGAATATGTATCATTTTTATTATTTTTTTATTTAATTGATATTTAATTGATATTTAATTA